GCGTGCGCATCCAAGATGGCGGCACATTCGTTTCCGGTGGCGTGCGCACCTCCAAGAGGGCGTCACATCCGTTTCCGGGGAGGAGGCGGAAAATCCAGAGAAGCGGTCGTAAAAGGTGAACAAGATCGACATTGAAAGAAGGGCGTATACAATCCTTTTGTTGTTCTAAACATAGACATGGTGGTGGTGGTGGTGGAGGGAGGGAGGAAGGGAGGGAGGGAGGGGGGGGGGGGGGGGGGAGGAGGAGGGGGGTTCTTTGTTTGGGTTTGATGGTCGTCAAAGCAAAGGATGAAAGCGTTCTTTCGGGAGAGATTGGTGGCCCTGAAAAGGGCCGTTTTGGGGAAGAAGTCGATCACTTCTTCACCCACATACACGCAGTGGTGCAAAGGCACGGGTGGGCTGTCATCTGTCGTCTCACGGGACACTTACTTATGTGAGTTAAACGTCTCATGTACGTGTCCTTCAGGACAGTATTACAATATAGACATTGGAATGTTCCATCCCGTGCCCTTGTGCCAAGGGCGTAGACTGGCCTACACCCTTGGCACCTGTTGCACTGCCATGGAGGAGGCAATGTTGGTGATGTTTCTTTCTCCTCCAATCTGTCCCTTTGCACCACTGAAATGATCTCCAAATCCCAGTTTTCTGTGTTATTTTGCATGTTGCTGCTGCTGCTGCTGATGATATCATAGAATGCACTGTGTGTGTGTGTGTGTGTGTGTGTGTGTGTGTGTTTGCTCTTGTTTTTTTTTTTATAGGAGAGGCACTGACACCCTGCTTCCTGGTTGGTTCGCCAGGCAGCAGCTCCGATTGGTTCATTCCGGTACTGGTCTGCACCTCTGTTTTCCAAAATGACCCGACCCCTGTGTTTCTTTCCCATAGGAAATGGATTTTACCATGGGAGAGAAAGCACAACCTCGTTTCGACCAATCAGAGGTTGTGCTCGGACCATGCTGGGCTCTGATTGGTCGACAACCCAGGCTTCTGATTGGTCAAATTTCGATCCGTTTTTTTTTCTTGGGTAGTCTTGGTATTTTTTAGGTAGACGGTCGTCTGAATGCTAAAGGTGGACCGTCAAAGGTAGGCATGAACGTGATGTGGGAATGTCTACGTGATGTATGTTGTGTCACCCCCCATGCAAATCGTGATGTCATGTGTGTGTCTTCAAACAGACGTTTACGTTGATCCAAAGGATTGTTATTCCATGCATACGGGATGTACGTCATGTTGCCAGGCACACGTGGTGTTTCACGCGTGTCTTTATGCAAAACGTGGTGTCATGTGTGTGTGTGTGTGTGTGAATACAAACAGACGTTATACTTATTTAGTATTTAGATGGATAGAGAAAGATCGATAGACATACGTAGTGTTTCACCCGTGTCTTCATGCAAACCTAGTGTCGTGTGTGTGTCTTCAAACAGACGTTGATCCATAGGATGATGACGTTGATCCATAGGATTATTATTATCATTATTATTTATACCGAGGTGTTGACACTCGTGTAGGTCTACAGGCGTACTGTCACACGTGTTTTCATGCACACGTCATGTACTTCATGTTGCCATGCAAACGTGATGTACTACGTGTCTCTATGCACACGTGATGTCATACGTGTATTTATATATATTAATTTTATTTTGAGACGTACAATTGTGGTGTCACGCGTAGGCGTGTGCCTCCAAGAGGCCTAGGGGGAGGGTGTGGGTTCTTTGTTTTGGCAAAGCAAAGGATGAAAGCTGTCTTTTGGGTGAGATGGGTGGCCCTGAAAAGGGCCGTTTTGGGGAAGAAAAACTTTTCTGCTGCTGTCAAAGAAGAAACATCATGTCCAATCTTATTGCAAGAAAGGATCGTCGAAGCGGTAATTGCTGCCATCTTTGTATACCATCTGGGTATGCCATCTGGGTATGTCATCTGGGTGCCCTACGTGGCACCACTTGTGGGTCCAACAAAGAAAAAACCCAAAACAACTTGTTGGTAACAGGAACTTGAACGGGAACTTGAACGGGAACTTGAACAGGAACACAGGAAACGGAAAACGCCCTCCTAGGCAGCCGTTCATGCTACGCCAACGTCACATGAAATATCCTATTTATTATATACTTTTTGTGTAGTTGTCTGCAGGAAGAATAAATTATTTCATTACAAATGTAAAACCTTCAAGCGTAAATTCTCCCGACATAACATGGACGGTTTACCACAACCTGTAAGTACGACTTAAAATGTAGTTCCATCTTTGCTAAATCTTAAATAATATAAACAAAAGTAAACAAAAATATTTGATGTCACTAAAATTCTTTAGTATACATTTGGATATGATTATATACAAAATCAACTTCATCAAAATATAAATTTCAAATCAATGAGACGGTTGTTCGAAGCGAAAGAATACACGCAAGTCAAGTAACAAAATGGCGCTTTGCGAAACGAAAAGTATCGACTGACAAATTAGATGAGAAATTTACAGTTTACTACGAATCATTTTCAACAAAATAACAAACGGTAAGAATCGGTATTAACTCCATAAATGACCATCTGTCATTATATGACTTGTCAACGTTGAACTGACGTAAATCAACAGTATGTGTACGAGCTGTCTCGTGTAGGCCAACATACTTCGTCAGTCACAAGATGCTTCGTCAGTCACAACTTGACACAAGCCTACTCGGTTGGCTGATCATTGCGGCTTCGCACTGGTAACCGTCTAAGACCCGCATCACCTCGGGCTTTCCTCCCACATTAATCTGACACGCCGCGATATAACTGGAATACTATCAAAAGCGGTGTTAAACCCAACTCACTCACTCACTCACTAATAACCAAATGCACCTGGAGAGATACAGATATTGATATTTCCAGTGATTGTCTTATTTGACAGAATGCTGGAAAGGAAACTTTGATGCGCAAGTTGATTTGATGTGATGTTCACTGAAGCGGTTGCATCGGATGTTGACACTCCGGAGGCTGATGTGACAGTGGATGAGGCAGGCGGCGACGGTTGAACATTCAACAACAAGTAGATGCAAATATCAAAGGTCAAGTAGGACTACTTTCACTGTTTATAAACAAACATGGCGTCACCCTCGTCATTCGGCGATCGAGTCAGAATTAACCATCGGGAATCTGGATAAACTACAGGGATAATTGCTATCATTATCCAAAGAACAGTCTAATATACTGAAAATCAGTGTTTAACTGTGACGTAGCAAAGGCATTTTTATAAGTTTTGGCAACATTGGAGATATAAATTTCGAAACAATTTTGCGAGGGCACGTGGCCTAGCGAAGCGGGATCAGTAGCCATATCTGTGCTTGTAAACCCCTGCGGCTTGAAACCTTCTCCACAAATTAAAATAGTTGGATTTGGCCGAAATATGTTTGAATTGTTACCTTGTTTCGTTTTGTCGCTGTGTGTAGTACTATGTACATCTGACTACACTTCTTAACGTTATGACAGGACAGACCGACTGTCAAAAACGTCTGACCGTGGCCGTGACGTCTCATAGATTAGGGTTAAAGTAGCTTCCCTTTGACCAAGGGCAGTTACTCTAGCGGACAGACCGATGGATTGCCGAGAGAGGCAATTAAAAACAACTGTTGTTTTGCGTATATGTTGCTTCGCCACTGTATAAGAAACAGATTTCAGTTGGAACTTTATTGGCTACTGTCACTGTCCGACTGACACATCACTTAACCTGTGACGTAATACATATTAAAGCGCGCATTCCAGGAAAACTCGCAATGTTTCGGTAATGTTTGTGAGAGAGGGAAAGCGATTTTAAAGCACAGAATTAAAGAATGACATTATATGATAAAGAGGTTATCACGCTTGTGTGTTTGGGCATGGTAAATATCCTGTATTAGGAATAAACATTATGCATATAGCTCGCCAAGGTTCGCTAAATACAATGTTTATTCCTAATGCAGGATATTTACCATCCCCAAACACACTCGCGTGATAACCTCTATTTACGCTGTTGGTCAGGTTTCAGATGGGAATAATTCGTAATGGAGTTTGTGTTCTTGTGACCTAAAGGGAGAACAGTTTATCATATATTTATTTAGCTATATTAGATACTGTTATTATTCTTTGTATTATGACATTTTTGCTAAATATTACCACAATTTGGTATAATTATCATGTGTACATATATACATTTTTATTATTATGATAGGGAAAAAAATGTAATGTGAGCTTATATTTTAATATATGTAATGATTATATTTATCATGTTTAAAGGGCCTTTTTTCCATTCAATGTACCTGATACTCCAATGATCTGATTAGGAGAAACACCTTCATCCACCAGTTTCTGTACAAGGTGCTTTCTCATGCTGAAAAGTAACACATATAATTATCAATTATTATTTTCTTATCAATTATAATATTCTTGGAAGAAATAACTTAATATGGCAAGTTTTTATACATATTCAAATTAATAGCCATTTAATTAATGGTCAATGAAAGAAGATTTACACAAAATTTAAATGATTTTATTGCACATAAAATTTTTGAATAGTAATATTATTAATATCACCTGTATGGTGTGATCCGTTTGTCTTGAGCAAGTTTGGCTCCATCCTTCATCTCATTCATTGTGCTGTACAATTTATTTAAGCCCATTGCAGAGTTCTTGTACCAGGGTGAACCTGCCTTTCCTCCATGGTTGATGGCGAGGAAAAAAGGACTGTCTGTTTGAAGCATTGAAGTAGGACGATTTTCCCGATACATCTTGTAGCAGGCCACTGGATCCCTGTCGGGTTTTTCTGGAATGCTGTATTCACGGGGCTTCCTGCGGATGTCGTTAGGATTGGCTCCAGTACGTGGCATGGACTGACGCTCTGAGGTATATATTAAATAGTCCCCCTGATCCCCTTCCCTCAGTTCCACATCCCCCCGTCTCATGTGTGAACTTCCTTTCCCGTCCTCATTCCGAAATAGAGCGTACAAATTAGCCACATGGAATGTAATAGGCTGGTCCGATTTGCTAGGCCTTCAAATCCTTAGATTTAGCCTTCATAATTTCTCTCAGTTTTCAAAATTTCTCACTATTAATCAAACTATGACCATATGATTTTGATTTTAGATGTCGCTCAAAGGAGGAGAGAAAGTTTCTCAGTGAGGTAGGCTCATACTCCGATTCATCTTTCTTCCTAACAGTGATGAAGAACTTGCTGAGATAATCTTCAAGGACAGGTGGCTCAATCTCTTCAATAGCCCTAGCCTCACCTTCCTGCGCAAGAAACTGCTTTAAAAGATTCAGGTCGTACAAGGTTTGTTTCTTTGTGTTTTCATTTGCATGTTCATTAAGATATTTATCTACATCACCAGTACTTATCTTTGAAGATCTGTGAATCTTATTTTACTGGACATACTTGATAGGTTCAATTTGTTCCTGGATAGGTTTTGTTTGTTGCTGGATAAGTTCTGTTTGTTCAAGAAATCTTAAGTCCCAATCTGCCAGGAAAACATCGATTTCACTCATTTTGAGTGTGTCCATGTTTTATTAGCAGAAGACACTTACGAGTAAGGTTAGAAAATTTTCAAGGGGGGTAACTCTTGTGAGAAAATAGTTCCGTTAACGTGTTATGTTCACTGCAGTGAAATATCAAGTGTTATGTTCACTGCAGTGAAATATCAAGTGTTATGTTCACTGCAATGAAAATATCACTTTTCTCAACTCAGTCTTTCACACTGAAGTATATAATAAAAACATATATTATGTTTACGCCAATTCCATGCACACAGATAACGAAATGTTAACAGCATCGCAATATTGAACCATTCTCTACCTCAAACCAATGCAATATGCTGTTCTGTCAAACGGTAATAATAATACATTATTGACAGTTTTGTTATGTTTTAAAAACAACAGAAAACTCAGAACAAGCCACAATGTCAACATGTCTACATGTTACCCCCTCCCCAATTAAAAAAAGAACATATTAAAAAGTTAATAATAATAACAACAACAACAATAATAATGTAATAATGTAATAAGATGTATTCGCAGTGGCAAGTGTGACTTCGGAACCCATTTATATTAGAAGAGGAATATTTAAGGGCGTTTCATTTTGTACTTTGCTTTTCTGTTTGTCACTAAATCACAAAGAGGAAGGGTATCATCCAGGAGCTCCTCAGCACAGATCCCCGACACCCCTTACTTACCCCCTTTTACATGGATGACCTTAAACGTATTGCCAAAATAAAAACAGATTCTCATTGTCGAGTCCTTTTCTAATGATATTGGCATGTCCTTTGGGCTCGACAAATGTAACACTCTTCATCTGTAACGTGGCAAGGGAGAAGAGGAAGAATCAGTCAATTTACTTGGGGGAGGAGTTATTGACCATCTCGTGGAAGGTCAGTCCTATACGTACAGAGGAATGCAGTTTAGAGACAAACTCCAGAATGCCAATATCAAGGAAAAACTTTGGGCTGACAAAAGGAAAAACCGGAGTTCAAAGCCGAACGCTCGCAATAAAGTTTAAGCCACAAATACTTATGCTTTACCCGTCCTATCGTATTTTTTGTTGTTGTTGATTGGACGAAACAAGAAATTCATGGTATTGACACTCTCACACGTCAATCATGTCAGACAATAGATCCCACTACCCTCGCTCTTCCCTCAATCGCTTATATTTACCAATTATAATTGGAGGGCGTGGTTTGACCAACGTTCGAGGCTCTTCATGATAGAATTGCATTGTGCACGAAGTGCCATATCAAATCAGCCCAAAGTACCAAGTTGTACGACTCCCCATTGTTCTGGGTGCCTTAGGTTTGGTACCTCCCAACTGTTGACTGACATTGGGAATGTACCCGGGTTTCGTGCAAGGAATACAGCCCTTCTGACTATCTGGGTAATTCAGAAGGTGCAGTGTTGGGAAGTCTTCACATTCTCCGAAATGTTTTGGATTGGTTTGACCCGGCAGCGCTTTCTGGGAAAAGTCCCATTCGCTGTCTGGGCTGCGTGTAAAGGCCCTGAGCTGATGATGAGCCTAACCAGCCTGACCCTAAACCCTCTTGCTGCATTTTTATTTTAATCTGTAAGTAATAATAATGAAAAGAATATATCAATAAACGAAAAACACACACAACAAAGAAACATAGATAAAACAAAACATGATAAACAAGTACAAGACAACATCGCTGTTAATCTAGCTATGTATGTGTCCGTGTCCGCAAGTCACCATAACTACCATGTCACGACTGACAATAATTCTTCAACGGGAAATGTAAATAGGGAAGTTTTACACTGCATAACGTTGTCCGCAACAACAGGATATCGTACCTACATGTACATCTGACTGTGTTGCATCGAACAGGATCGCCTGGTATATCACACCTCGTCACTGAGTGCGCGCATTTGTGTCATTATGGAATCTGCATACACTGTATGACGAGGCGCAATCTTATGACCTGTTCTGGCGCTGTGCTTTGCTCAATAACACAGGATTAATTTCAGCACCCATCAATACATTTCATTTAATTTATTTCACAAAATCGTGTGACCTAATGATAAGGGTTTTGAATTCTGGACCCACTACAGTGTCACTTTTTCTCAGAGGATTTAACTTAATGTAAAGGAAATAGGTCCTTCTGAATGCATTTCTTATTGCTTACTCGCCACTACATGACTGAAACAATGCCGACATTAAGTTTAATCACGCTCACATTGATACAGGATGGGTGCAATCTCCGATTTGACTGCAGTGGCGGATGTGAGACACGCCATCCTATAAACACGTCTTCGAAGTTATATCACCAGGACATTAATTCTATGAATCATTGCACGAACAGGCGTCTTCTGGGAAGGTAATTCTGTTTATGGTCTTAGTAATAATTAGACGATGGTTCTCATCTTACCCTACTGGCAGAATCCGGTACCGAGCCGTAACCTATAAATCGTGCAACACATTACTATTTAGTTTAGTTACTGTAGATCGAAGACAACTGTTCCAACTGACTCTTGTCCAGCTGCTACTTATTTTTTTAAAGTGTTTACATTTCTTATGCGATCATCACAATTCAAGCAGATCGTGTAACACTCGGAAGGTCTATGATTCTATTTGAAGAACAACATCGTTTGTGAGGTACGTGATACTTACGTTCGTGTAGGTTCTATCATAGTGGTATGTTGTTAGTGAAGGCAACATTACTAACAGCAAGTAATACCAAACCTTTGTGAAGCTCACCCTGTTTGAGTCGTTTCAATTGTCAGTTATCACAGGCAAATTAAATAACTAAACATGCCGTCGTCATTGATATTGAAATAGTTTCTACATAAACATTAAGATCTAAGCCCTGGAGAAAATTATGCTTACAAGTTGCCGCTAAAATACAATGCAATTAAGTGTACTGTCCTAACTTTAGGATGTAATAACAAATCAGTGTCTCCTGAACATCTGTACAAATTCGGTAACATAACTTTTCCTTTTAAAAACTCATTGATTATGCTGGAGTGTACAGTGTATTGTTAAATATTCTGTTGAAAGAACGAGGTTAGTGAGTGAAAACTTGAGAACAGTGATAAATATAAATCACGATTCTGGTTTGTACTTTGGTGGACTTGATCCTATAGCCACTGTGCGCTTCTGGCAGCGGGTGGTATTACCTTGTGGCTTACATGGATGTCGTGTATGGGGGAAACTGTTCTTAAAGGAATATCATATGCTAGAAACCACTTAACGGTATTTTTGTAAGACCATCCAGAGTTTTAATAAGTGTAAAACTAATGAAATAATGAGAGATACACTTGGTGTAATATCCATACAAGGATATATTGATCAACAAACTCTAAACGCAAATTTAATGTATATTTTCAAGCACATGTATATGTTTTCTTGTCCGACTTGGATAGCTTAGATATAAAGCCACTCCAGTTAATGAGAACAAATGGGATATGAAATCAATTTCAGCATGTTATGTTGCATGTTAAAAATATATTATGGTAACTTCACTTATATTGTCTAAGCAGCATGTGTCAGATTCTGCTAGTCGGGACTCATACCGATATTATAGTGTTAGCCCAATGTGACACCATGTCACCATTTGGATGCAAAAGATATGCTTCGTTAAATCTTTTAATGTAATCATCGAAGCAGTCAGTGTTGCGGCCTAGAACGCCCCAAACATCCGATATCAAATTACCGTATTTCCTCTATTTGACGATACGCCGTCTGTTAAATTCGCGAGAGCCCTTGACTCGGAGTGTATTAGGGACTTGGCTGGTATTAGACACCCAGCGTGTATAAGAGGAAATGTAGATATGTTTTACAGTTCATATAGGTGTGATCCATCGGCAGCCATTTTCTATGAATCGATATGTAGGCTATCTATGTATTCACACGCACGTTTTTTTGTGAAAAGGCTTAATATATTTGAAAGGGGTTTCCGTAGCAAAAAGGAAACCTCTTTTTAACCAATCAGAATCAAGCATTCATCAATGTCATGGTAGAATATGGTTTAAATATATGTTGCAGCCTCTGTTGGGTTGGCTATATGAGGACCAAGGCGACACCTGTTTATATATTCCCACTATGTAGTGTGGCTATTACATGACACTCCGTAATAACAATAAAATAGGCAAAAAGTATTCCTTTAAACATCTCTCACATAAAATTATAAGTCAATTAAATATTGCATAAAGGACAATTATATCTCATTGTTAAGTCCCTGCATATTTATATACTCAACAACAAAAGTTGCTGTGACACTAATATTTTAGTGTATGTTTCAAACAAGTAAAGTTTGGTTTTCAATATTGTAGTACATGTATGGAATCAAGTCACAAAAACGCAACTGCTACAGAAAAGCATGCATTCCATGCAAAAGTGGACTTTTATGCAAGCCCCATGCATTTCACTACCCAACAGGATTCCATATGCATTGTTTAGCATCGTGCTGACAACAACCACTCAGAAAAACAACAAAAATTACGCAATTATTCAACATTACGAAATGCCACGCCTGTTCGAAAATGAGCGTCTGCGAGCCATTGGTATGCTTGAAGCAGGATCGAGTCAACGTGATGTTGCAAGACAATTTAACGTCCACAGAAACACATTTTGGTGTTTATGGCAACGTTGGCAACATACGAATGCAGTCAGAGACCATCCTCGGAGTGGCAGGCCACGCGTTACCAATAATTGACAAGACAACTGGATTCGAACAACACACCTACGAAATCGATTCCAGCCAGCAACAGTGACTGCAAGAAGCATCCTTGGCCTTCGACGAATATCTTCACAAACCGTACGTCGTCGCCTCAGATGTGCAGGGATTGTCGCCAGAAGACCCGCCAGACGTCCCATTTTGACAGGAAACCACCGTCAAGCGCGTCTACAGTGGTGCAGACGGGCTTCTACGCCGAACGGCCATGCAGTGGGGACAAGTTCTATTCACTGACGAGTCTCGTTTTCACCTCAGCCACAGCGATGGACGGATTCGAGTGTACCGACGTCGAGGTGAACGTTACGTCAATCATTGTGTCATGGAAGAAGATCGGTTCGGGGGCGGCAGCGTTATGATATGGGGTGGGATTACAGCAAGGCAGAGGACCCGTTTGATAGTGGTAGAGGGAAATCTCAATGGACAGCGCTACCGCGACGAGATCATCAGTCCGGTTGTTCTACCGTTTTTGCGTCGTCATGGCCCAGGCATTACCTTGCAACATGTCAACGCCCGGCCTCATATTGCTCGACTTGTCATCCCCTGGCCGGCTCGCTCCCCTGATCTCTCACCAATCTAGCACATGTGGGATGAGATGGATCGGCGCCTTCGACGTCAACCACGTGTTCCACAGACACTCAAGGAACTTCGAAACATGCTCCAGCAGATATGGACAGATATCCCACAGGACTTTGTGCGATGCCTGGTCAATTCCATGAGACGAAGATGTGTTGCTTGCATCGCAACCAGAGGTTCACACACAAGCTATTGATTTGTAAATTGACATTTTGGCATGTACATGTTTGTTTTTTCATGTAATCACGCATTTTCTGAAGTCAGTATGGCTAATTAAACCATATGAACACTTACAGGAGTCTTTTATCTGTTGCAAACCGAAATTGTTTCAGATTTGGTAAAAAATATAACTTCGCATTAAATCTTATTCAATGTCACAGGAGTTTTTGTTGTTCAGTATATATGATCTGCGGCATAAGAGTTCTATAATAAGTTAATCACGTTAACTCATAAATAAACAGCAATATATTACCTACCAGTTGAACATTACTGATATTATACGAAACATTTATACAAGTGTAATTGAAATAGGCATACATATATTAACAATGTGACATATATTTGTGACACAGCTGTCGGACAATATATTGATAATGGTATCGTCTTACAATATTCCAACTTTGAGCTACAGTAAACTACGGTTATAACGAACTCAAAGGGACCACTAACTTTAGTTTGTTATAACCGTAGTTCGTTATAAGCATAGATACAGTATAACAATAGCAAATAGTCGGGTCAAAAAAATCAGTTCGTTATATCCGTCAGTTCGTTATAAACGTGTTCGTTATAAACGTACTTCACTGTATTATGCATTGATCGTGCAATAAACCTTCGTACCAATTAAACATATATTACATCGTAAATATATGTGTCCCACTTTTATTTGTTATTATCGTCGTCTCTGTGCTACGAGGTATCTAACACTGTATACTCTTGTATCCACAGAATATGGTGGTGATACTCTCCGAGAACCAAATGAGGAAAGTCTTGCAGCAAGTGACTAAATATCACGGGTGGATGAAGGTCGTGTTTTCACTTTCATGTGCCTAACATACTAGTAATCATAATCATATCACTGTTAAGATATCTGTCGTGTTTCTACGTTTGAGGAAAATGTATCCTATTGCTGTTTTTAATATGCAAATCTACAAAACATGTAGAAACACGATAAATTAACAGTGTGAAAGGATATTCACATCTGAATGTGTAGCATTGGTACATACAGGCATGGAAAATGCTCTATAAGTACGAAATAGTGCTATATTGAAAGGGCTGCTTCCAGTTTGTATGGAGACATGCGGCGTAAAACCCAACATATTCACTCACATATAGATATCCTTAGTGCATGCACGATTTTAATTATGCTTATAAATAAATCAATATGTTTGATTAAACTCGTCATTCATATTTGATTGCCAGATTCATGTTATGTGTGGGACATGTTATAGAACATTCCTTGACAAATGTTTCGTCATGGCTCCCAGGCCTATCGAGTCTGACAAAACATGCTTTATGTACGGCAGTGTAGTGATATCCACATTTGAAACCGCTGAATACATCCACCACTCGGAGAGTCCGGGCACGCATGTTGTATTTGCTAGAAGTGACACACAGTAAAGTATCACCGTGGATTCAGACTCGTATTTCAGTCATATGGAAATAAACCAAATCAAAGTGTTCTTGCACTCATGAAAATGTTCTTCTTGTTTTCAGATTTGTGGAGAAATATCAGCAAGATTAGAACATTTCATATTGGGGTTTGACTTCATTGTGGATACATGGCCTGAATTTAAAGCTTTGGTTGTACGCTCAAATAAAAAATATTTAAAGGTATGTACTTACTGGAAACACAATGTATGTTACTGTTATCAAGAAGGCTATCGGATTTATTGTTATTTAATGAGATTGGTTATCGCGCGTTGTGTAAATGAACTCGGGGCACGGTCCATGTGGGTTCAAATGCTAAATGTGTCCTAATTGTAAGCCATGCTCGTGTAAGGTGGTACATTCTTAAATCTACAAAATCACTTCAAACTTTCTTCACACGTTATGATGAAACGCTGTCACTTAATATGTGAAACGCTTTTCGGGGCGGTGTTTAACAAAGCTCACTCACTGGGCACAGTTTCCATAGGCAGCTAGCCGCCCTAGTATACTACTGTCGGGGAACATGTTGAAATAAACAAAATCTGTAAAGTCAAAAGATCAGGTGAATGTATCTCGATGTGCACCTGGCTGTGTGAATGAGGGAAGAAAAATGTATTACTCTGTTTGGTATGCCCTAATGACGGCGACTTTTGATAATTTAATCTGGAGAATGGCTGCAAAGGTGTAGGCAGGCATCAAGAAACATGGTGTACATACCTAATTTTGACAGTCCAAAGCGATGACATATGGACTAAGGTAAAAGTAGTGTAATGAAGGGCATCGCTCCCTAATAATCTGTCGAGCCCAGCAAACCCACTCATACTAGACGCACGCAAGGTACGAAATGTCACAGTTCCACTACAAATTAAGACGACGAATTATAGATTCGTGCATTTATACATATTGTACCACGCCATATACAGATGATGTATGCATCATGCAATTCCGTTTCAACCATGCACTCTTATTAGCCGCTAAACGTACATACGCATTTATCGCAGGTACTACATAAAGAATGTGTAATTGTTGATTTTCAGTTGTAGTTTCTGGAGTCCTCTGTCAACGTATATGCTACAGATCTGGATGCACTAAGGCATCTCCTGCAAAACAAAAATGTCATCGACTGGTCAAGAAACCAGAATTTTGAATGTACGTAGTTCCGGGGTTCCGTGTTAGAATAGGTCCAAAAACAACCTGCACTTGTCGATTGTACGATTCGACTGTATCATGAACAAGTGTTTATAAATCACTATCAAGAAATGATGAAACCAGGTGTTCACGAAAAGGTGAGCGTATCCTGCCCCACCAGTGACACCCGTCATTAAAACATGCAAATGCAAGTTAAATTTTCATCAAAACAAAACACGGAAACATGGTAAATACAGGATGATGCCTGCCCTCACTAATGTTTAGCATAAAAGACATTTTGTCAGTCGAACGCACGAAAGTGTGCCAATAATATGTTCCCATGCATACAGGTAATATATGTCAAACATTTGGCAAAATATATTGATTCAGAAAATTATTGTTTATCAGAAAGTTTAGACTCTCATTACCCACCCCATTACTTATAATCGTCTATTAAAGGATACATATAAAGAACATAAGGGACAAGTTAAAATAGGGAATTGCATCGGACATCATTTTGTCACTGATGCGTAAAATTTTGAAATGTCCTGTAAATGAGGCCCTGAATATTTAACCTTGATCAAACGACTTCTGAACAAGAACGCTCTTGGAAATCTTGGTAGAAGCGCATGCTCGATTTTACCTCGAAAGTTGTGAAATGTAGACACCAAGGGCTGGAGCTGCAGGAATATTTTTCGATATAAAGGGAAAGATGACTACTGGAAAGTTGAAGTCATTCCTCTTGTCATACAGTCTTGTGGTGTGCTTCCATTTTTGACAAATTGACCTGAGCTCCTGTAGTTTCATATGTAACTCTATCTATGGGTCACAACGTTTTGAAACAAGAGCCCCATGGATCAAGGTTTTAAGCTTTCATTAAGTTTGTCACGTGGGATAGTGGTACACAAAGTTTTGAGAGAATGGAACAGTCATTATCAAATGATTATTTGAATATTTCATACTTAATTATGAATTGCGTGTTATACGTGGTGTCTCCTTAGACAAGTGGAAGTTGAGATAAGTGTGAAATCGAACCTTCATCCGTTAAATATCATATACATGGGGCTGCCATTTCTGATATTCTCATACTACTTTCGATCTTTATATTTTTTTACAGCTGTGTGAATATTACCATTTCTTTTCTGTTTTTTACCAAATCTGAAACAATTTCGGTTTGCAACGAGATAAAAGACTCCTGTAAGTGTTCAAATGGTTTCATTAGCCATACTAACTTCAGAAAATGCGTGATTTCATTAAAAAAACATGAACATGCCAAAATGTCAATTTACAAATCAATAGCTTGTGTGTCCACCTCTGTTTGCGATGCAAGCAACACATCTTCGAATTCGTCTCATGGAATTGACCAGGCATCGCACAAAGTCCTGTGGGATATCTGTCCATATCTGCTGGAGCATGTTTCGAAGTTCCTTGAGTGTCTGTGGAACACGTGGTTGACGTCGAAGGCGCCGATCCATCTCATCCCACATGTGCTAGATTGGTGAGAGATCAGGGGAGCGAGCCGGCCAGGTGATGACATTCACGTTGTTTTGTTGAAGAGAATCCTGAACAAGTCGAGCAATATGAGGCCGGGCGTTTACATGTTGCAAGGTAATGCCTGGGCCATGACGACGCAAAAACGGTGGAACAACAGGACTGATGATCTCGTCGCGGTAGCGCTGTCCATTGAGATTTCCCTCTACCACTATCAAACGGGTCCTCTGCCTTGCTGTAATCCCACCCATTACCATAACGCTGCCGCCCCCGAACCGATCTTCTTCCATGACACAATGATTGACGTAACGTTCACCTCGACGTCGGTACACTCGAATCCGTCCATCGCTGTGGCTGAGGTGAAAACGAGACTCGTCAGTGAATAGAACTTGTCCCCACTGCATGGCCGTTCGGCGTAGAAGCCCGTCTGCACCACTGTAGACGCGCTTGGCGGTGGTTTCCTGTCAAAATTGGACGTCTGGCGGGTCTTCTGGCGACAATCCCTGCACATCTGAGGCGACGACGTACGGTTTGTTAAGATATTCGTCGAAGACCAGGGATGCTTCTTGCAGTCACTGTTGCTGGCTGGAATCGATTTCGTAGGTGTGTTGTTCGAATCCAGTTGTCTTGTCGATTGTTGGTTACGCGTGGCCTGCCACTCCGAGGATGGTCTCTGACTGCATTCGTATGTTGCCAACGTTGCCATAAACACCAAATGGTGTTTCTGTGGACGTTAAATTGTCTTGCAACATCACGTTGACTCGATCCTGCTTCAAGCATACCAAAGGCTCGCAGACGCTCATGTTCGGACAGGCGTGGCATTTCGTAATGTTGAATAATTGCGTAATTTTTGTTGTTTTTCTGAGTGGTTGTTGTCAGCACGATGCTAAACAATGCATATGGAATCCCGTTAACGCACATGTTTTTTATACCCATTCTTGGGTAGTGAAATGCACGGGGCTTGCATAAAAGTCCACTTTTGCATGGAATGCATGCTTTTCTGTAGCAGTTGCGTTTTTGTGACTTGATTCCATACATGTACTACACTATTGAAAACCAAACTTTACTTGTTTGAAAAATGCACTAAAATATTAGTGTCACAGGAACGTTTGTTGTTGAGTATATTATGATTGTGACTGATACGTGTACTTTATGATCATACTGACATACTCACAATATGGCTGAAATACTGCCTACGTGACCATAAATCTTAAGCCCCTCACTCATAACGACAGCGGATATTTTAGTTGTTCTGTATCTGATTACGTATTTGATAAAGTCGGTAAAGCAGTAATTTATTAACACATGCTTATAACATAGTACGGACTTATACAGTGCTTTCAGCAGAGAATATTTTGGTAATGGTTTTGCTACATCTTTTTTACAAAGACAGTATGCATTGAATATTTAGGTGTGGACACGAGGCTGTTACCTGTTGTAATAGAAGTGATGAAACATCATCAGGTTCCCCTCTTACTTGGATCGACTGCCGTGTTCCTCCGAGCGACAGAAGATACCCTGGAACTCAAGTAAGCTGAGATATATTGATTGATTGATTGATTAAGTGAGTGAGTAGAGTTTTCAGCCATAGTCCCGTAATACTACGGCAAGGGACATACACTGTACCCATTTGAGGAATCGAAGTCGTACTTGGGCGTGACGAGAGAACCTCTTAACCACAAGGCTACCCCACTGCCCCCTAAAATGTATTGAAAAGCCCAGGGATTAATGTTTTTAAGTTATAACCATGCTGTGCAACGGAGCAATATGTTGAACACCCTTGGGTTTAATATTGACTTTACTTTATTGAATGATTCCAAGTATGGATTAAATTTGTCATCTTGAATTCAACATTCAACAAAATCCTTTCATGCAGAGACGACATTGCATGTCTCAGACCCTGCAACCCTCTCCCTTACACCCCCCCCCCCCCCCCCCCCCCCACACACACACACACACTGAAAAGATACAACTTAGGAGTAGGATGAAACGTTACATTAGATGATCAGATTAATCACACGGTATCCGTGTTACTCGTTAAGGTGACAGGCATGTTGAGGTAGTGCAATGTGAGTTCAAGTTCTTTGCCCTTCTAACACTCTTCTGTATACTCTAAGACTATTAAACATATTTATATGATGACACATCTTAAGGGGAAGTATGCTATACATATGTATAATAATGTAGTAGGCTGAGTAAACACTAATGATGTAACGTATTAATTTGTAACTGTATCGATACGTATTTGACTATGATGTTCAGCGATTTCTGTTTGTGCTGGAGTAATCATTTGACCTATACAATCTGCAATTCTTAAATAATTTTTATTTATTTATTGTATTTAAAAAAAAATATGCCATAATAATACCAACTCGTCCGACAACATCAAAGATCAGTTGAGTAAGCAGTGTGATTCATATGCCTGATCTTAATTTTCAGGCCAATACCAGAAGGGTTTATGCTTGAGAGTCTCAAACCAGATCAAGCCAAAATGGTTGACACTTCCTGGAATTTCAGAAGAGAATATTCTGCTTGTTACATCCAAGAAATGATACGAAAACTACCTTCATGTTGTCTTTACAACAGTGAGGGACGCATGGTTGGCTTTGCCATCACCTACCACTATGGCTGCATTGGGATGTTACATGTGTTGGAGGAACACAGAGGGAAGGGATACGCCAAGGTGATTATGTCACATCTGGCTCGCAAGTGTTTTCAGAAGTGGCAATGTGTATCAGTATTTATTAATCCAAAGAACACAAGGTCAATAAAACTTAACGAAGCCATAGGATTTACTTTAGTACCAGATTTGTTGTTTCAGACAATAAAGACACAACACACAACACCATCTCAATTGTAATTGATTGATAAGATTACGATTTCATTTCGGCTGTTGCTCGTATGTGAACATCAATTATGATTGGAAAATGGGATCGCCCTAATAATACCTTTGCTTCACAAAAGATAATTTTCTTTATTGGTTAGGTATCCGTTTGTGGGCATATACGCATAGATATGCAAATAACAAAGATCCGGAAGGTAATACTTTCAATGTTGACAAACAAACATGACGTCGCCCTGTGTATCGGTGATCGCGTCGGAATTGAGCTTTTACCACGTGCTGTGTGCTGAAACATTCCTTGGAGAGACAGTTCCAAAAGACTCTCGTCCTTGTTACAAATAAGAACACTGGGCCCCTCGGGTGAAAAGGATCAAATGTTTGGATTCACCATTAACCTTACATCTCTAATGATTCTGTTACCTCCACGAAAATGTACTAGTGTCACATCAAAAAGTATTTCTGTGGCGCCCAAAGGAGAAACAAAACTCTACATTAGACTTTCGTACGTAGAACTTTCTATTTCTTACATAGGACTTTTTATCTCCTAAATATGACTTTTCATCACTTTGAAGATGTCTAAGCATGCAATGTTTCACCTCTTCCTTGTTTACAACAGAGAGAACTTTGCTACATACAAAGGGATCGGGATCTTTGACAATGTATTTACATTATCTGAAGTAAAGTGAAGTGGAAAATAGTTTCTATAATTGCATCCAAAGCTTTATCATAACGTTATACAGACAAACATCGGAACAACCTCGTTATAAATGTGGCAAATGTATGTAGTTAATTTCCCGCTGAACATATATTTTGCAAATGTGGTAATAGAAGCATGATTTTCAAGTAATCAAATCATGTTTAACCGCCTCTCTTAGATATCATTTTGTTACGTTCTTGTGGTTTAAAAGAGAATGAAGTAGCCCTTATGTGGAATACAATGGACACTACCTTTTACATAAATCTTGCGTAACACATAATTATGAATAAACTGATTCACATCACATCATGTTGTTTGTTTCTTTGTCATTTTGTTCAGAAGTGCTGTTTCTTTCCCACTCAGGCGATTCTTTTCCCCCAGGTTACCAGTCACTAAATCATACAAATGAAACACTGTGAGCAATTAAAAGCGTTTAATTCTTTGCCTTATCCCTACAAGCAATGTACACAATATTAAATAACCACACAATTTACCTCAGCTAACCTAAATTTCCACTTCAAAATTATGTTTCAATTAATTCTAAAATAAAAACGTAGTTGATATTATATTTGCGATTGAACATATGTAAGCTTGAGATAAAGGTCGAGTAGCATATCCAAATTGATGAAAAAATTCAGAATGATATGTGGAACTTCGCACGAAGATGTGTTTATTTACCTGGTGCTTATGTCGAAGCCTTCCTATCTCCAAAGTTGTGTTTGGTTTGATCGTGGTTGGTTGATTTAGTCTAATGATATTAATAATATTGATAAAAAAACACACAATATGGATAGACTCAATGGGGGTGTGGTACTGATAGGTGATGGCTTCCTTTGTTAGCTTCTACCCTTTGTTATTTTCCACCTATTGTTATCTTATAAATTTTGTGTAAAATAAGTGTTGATAATCATAGATCATGATCTGTGCTCATTGTGTGAAAACAATTTTGGGCCTACTTGCTTTTAATAACACCATAGCTTATAGCTTACAAAGACATAGTCATAAGCAAACGGTGATCTTTGTAGAAAGTCAGGCGAAGCAAACATACCGAGCCTACACGTATGGCTGTCAAATGGAATGTCCAACGTCAACGTCACATGTGGTTTTGAATATTTCTACAACAGATGTTGTTACAACACCAGAAGAGGTAACTTGTGCTTGTGTATCTGTCGGAATATGTGACAATCTCTCCACAGATGGTTTCCATATGTCGTCAGAATCAACTTCAGAGTATTTGACATTCGGAAATTCATGTTCATCCCATGAATTCATTGTAGCCTTATGCTTCCACTGATAGAAAAGATCTTGGATGATTCGTCCAATTCAAGGATGGGTATCAATGCGAATGACACATTGATACCCGGTATGGGTGTTGCGATAGTTCCTGGGGATATAGATGAACTGTAGTTAGTTAGGATTCGTTTCAAAATCCCTTGCTTCTCTGGCCTCAGTGAGTCGTCTGAATTATTTTAAGCCAATTATTAACTGCACATACCAATGGCAAAACCCCGAGAGGATAGAGAACATATTTATAACCACGCCATGGTAGCTTAGTTGGATGTCTAATGGCGAGCAATCGACCCTCATTTCTGTTATAAAAGCGACTGTATATATACTAATCAAAGTTTTCAAAGGATCAGGTTTTGCTTGAAAACTTGTCTTTGGATGTATGTGACATCATTATCACAGAGCACAAAAGCATTTGCTACTGAGGTTTGCTACAGCTGAATGTACGTATGCCACCTCAGCGTCAAAGAGGTCGTTTGACGACCGGAGAATAAGACAGATGCATAAGCATGCTGGAAACCGTGTCAACACAACGTCAAGCCCGCAAACGTCTTTAGTGTCACCCAAAGTGTGATCAGCAGGGCACGGATTCGACACCAAACGTTTTGGTCAACTGCCCAGCGACATGCAGGTGGTCGACAGCGTTCCACCACACAACGGGAAAAAGGTTTCTCTAGACTGCAGCAGGATGTCATCACTTCGTGATTGCCATCACCCTCAGAAATGACCTGCGGAACGTTTCAACTCAAACAACATCGTCTTCGTGAGGCTTGTCTCCGGCCACGGAGGACATGCATTCGCATCCCACTGACCCGACTTCACAAAGCAGCCACGTTTGCATTTGGCTGAAGCTCATGTCAAATTTAGAGATATCGCTCTGGGGCAGGATCAATAGAGCTGGAAGAACCGATTAGACAGCAGGGCCACGGGGATGACATATCCATGGGGATACATACATACATACATACATACATACATACATACATACATACATACATACATACATACATACATACATACATACATACATACATACATACATACATACATACATACATACATACATACATACATACATACATACATACATACATACATACATTGAAAGACGCCTACTTTCAGTGTTACGGTGATAATGAAAACAGTAAGGTCGTGATCATCGTGACAAAAACACAGCATTTACTGTACAATTGCGAAACCATTGCCACGGTTGAATCAATAAAGCAAAGCTTATTATACACAGTGCAAATACAGTTCTTGAATCCAGGTGTGGGAATTGCTGGCTACCGATAATGGATACTGATTATGCCTGTGGAATCAACCGCGTTTATTGTAAGGCGCACATAATGACATATAACGGAAAACAGCAACCCAAACACACATAGTTGTGTAGAACCGGAATGGAATTAGACCCGAAATCCTGAAATCAATGAGTGTTTGCTTTTGTGATTATTTTCACCTTTATACTCTGACATTAAGAGCACACTATAAAATTGCTTATCAAACACATTTGCCCTGCAGGGAATCCGGGGTGGATTAGGTCCCAAGCAACCTTGCTTTGTCGTAATCGGCGACCGAATGGCTCGGACTGTAATACTATAAAGAGAACGATTTACACATGGACAATAATGGAAAATGAACATGTAGTAGTAGTTTGTATCTCACTGACTGCATACCTTTACCCCGGTTAGGATTCCGGATAAGAATGTAGATACCCAGAATATCGATGAAAGGCGCGTAAATAGACAACTCGGACCACTTGGTGGCTGCTGTGGCTCGGATACAGTGATTTGTGTATGACTGGGGTAAGCCGGTCATGAGATATGGTCATCTTGTTATTTAAAACTTCAACAACTTTAAAGATACTATTTCACCGATCGCTAATTGATGTAGATGCGCCATCTTGACTGGCAATAATGATAGAACAATGTTACCATGGATACGTAAGATCACGGGGTGATACTTTGAACAGCGTCATGGCGTCAGCCCTTTGTGACGTACCTCAGAAAGTGTACTTTATAGGAGGATAAAGTACAGTCGCCGGCTATTATCTTTTACCGAAGCATCTTCAAATGTCTTGCAGACCGTATTCACATGGCTGGAATATATGTGATTGCGGCGTTTATCAACCACCAAACAAAAAGAAAGGAACAGCATACCATTAACGCTGATTATGGATGTACCACTTCTTGTCTGGCGAGGGACACTGGTACTTTGCATTAATACCTTCTTTTTAAATACATGGCCAGTAGCAATTGTTAAGTAATTATAGTTGATATTGTGTGTTGAAAAGGATGCTTTGCCGATAGGTAGATTCACTAAAACACAGTTAATCTGTAACAATTTACAAGTTAATCTGTAACAATAAACACTGGTCGAGGAACTAATTCAGTGCATCAATCCTAACGACACAGTGTCACCCATCCACAAATAGTTTGAATTGAGACACTTTTATCGAACACCGATTGCGACGAGTTGAAAACATTTGTCTGTAGTTGTCCTCTGAAGGGTTGAAACAGTATAAAGCCAAACACTGCTTTTATTACGAACTTTTTTTTTTAGCTCACCATGATTTGTAGCTTAATATTGATCTAACACATTCGTTTTGAAACTGTCCTATGTTGTTTCTATTATCGGGGACGTAGAATATTAATATATCTATTTTTCAATGTCGAATGTTTCGTACGGACCTTTCGAAATAATTTCTTTTATGGTGAACCTTAGTCAAACTTGCTAATGTTAGTTCAGGTTTATCACCATGGGGATAAGCGGGCATATGACAAACTGCGACCCATAGCATTAGTTGCTTTTAAACACCCCCAGAGAACATTTACTGTGCAAAAGAAAGAAAACGCAAAAGTTTTTTTTTAGTTTGTTTTGTAACGCCGTACTCAGCACTATTCCAGCTATATGACGGTCATCTGAAAATAATCGAGTCTGGACCAGACAATCCAGTGATTGTCATCATTAGCATCGATCCACGCAATCGGGATACGATGACATGCATCAACCAAGTCAGCAAGCTTGACCACCCGATCCCGTCAGTCGCCTCTTACGACAAGCATAGACGCCTTTTACGGCACGCATGGGTTGCTGAAGACCTATCCTACCAATCGTAAACATCTGACAGACTGTTGCCGACATCCATACAAAATTAATACCAAAATGAATTGATCACTTCTGCAGGGGTTGGGATTGATTTGTGGGGAAAGAATGAGGTACTGCAGACATTTGGTGAAAAGATGGAAAAAGCACAACCACGTGAGAGCATGGAGCCGAACACACCAAATTGACGTGTTTGGCTATACAAACGTTGGGCTTTCTTTGCATGCCATCTCAATCATACAACAAGTGAACAGCGAAAACATACCATGACTGACGGAAGCCTACCGCGTCAAAGCCATCGGCCGACTGCAAACAGGAGAATCTTTACCTTTAGCAAGGTTTTCCACGTAGCACCAAGCACCACTACAAGACTGTGGAACCGCTATCAGACACGCTGGACAACAGAGGACCTTCCGAGACTACATACAAGAAGTAGACAGATTAGGTGGTATAAATGTGATTATGTGGGCAGCCATCACCTAAACTGGTAAAACAGCCTTGGTTCTGTGGAATTTAACGGCACAACGTTACACAAATGGAATTCTTCGGCCACATGTTCATCCCATTATGCAACAAGCGAACATGATTGTCCAAAAAGACAAAGACAACAGCCTTTGACACGAATCACAACATTCAGGTCCTGCCATGGCCCTCCAGGTCTCCAGGTCTCCAGAATCTGATATCTCCCTTTGGAAGACGATGCCAGCCAGTTTAGGACTCTGGTAGTGGCCACATAAGATATTGAGAATAGATGACCTTGAAAATCTACTGTTCCATATGTTTCATATGAAACCTGGGTCAATGACAATGATGTGTGTCAATTTTGAACATTGTAATCGTTTACCATCCATTGATTATTATATATGATATATAATGTATACATTTAATATCAATTCTGCGTTTCTTTTTGGC